TAAGATACCCATTTACTCAAACTTCCCTTATACACCTGCTTACTATAACTCGAAAGACAGAGTTCCCTTATCACATTCTCTTTCAAAACGGCTACCCTAATAACTTCCTCATTCCTAACTAATTTGTTTATCAAACCACATAAGATACCCATTTACTCAAACTTCCCTTATACACCTGCTTACCATAACTCGAAAGACAGAGTTCCCTTATCACATTCTCTTTCAAAACGGCTACCCTAATAACTTCCTCATTCCTAACTAATTTGTTTATCAAACCACATAAGATACCCACTTTACTCAAACTTCCCTTATACACCTGCTTACCATAACAGAGTTCCCTTATCACGAAACAGTTGATAAAGTTATGCAATACTTACTATCCCCAAATTGACGCAAAAGTCATTATGAAACAAAACTTTAGACTAAAAAATTTGTTTCCGTTACAAAGATCATTTGCCGTCTGCCCAATTTTCACATCTCATCTACTCGTACACGTGTGGAGACTGTTGAAACCAAACGTCACTTTAGAGTACGAGCATGTGAAACTGGAAGAAAGGTTACAAACCCTCCCAACTCTGCTATCTATCAACACAATACAGAAACAGGACATCTGATTTCTCTCTGAAACTTTAAAATTCTTTCAACAGCCCAACATGATACTGAACTTCTTATAAAAGAAATATTATACATAAAAAACTCTTCTCTCGTCCCTAAATAACACAAAGTCTTCACTGGATTTAAGCCTATTTTAACTACTTCACTTGTGCCTCAGTTTTCATTTCTTCGTGTTATATTTGTATATTCGATTTGTTTATTAGTTATGTATATATTTTTGTCGTAATTACAAATATTGTTTGTTTTATAAGCCTAGATTACTGATGATGGAATTATGACGATTCTGAAACGTCTAATAAATGCTTCCTGTTATTACGTTCGTGTTTTATCATTAAGCCAAGTTTTCCAAAAAATGAGTCGATTACTAAAAAAAACTATATTTTAACACAAACCTTACACCAGGAGACATACAAACAAATTATCTTTTTAGCAAAAGTAGAGAAAATGGCTATTTCGTTTGTAAAATAACTTGTAATACCTTTTCTAATAACAGAGCCAAGGTTTCAAGGACAGCTACTTTAACACTCCAGGCAAACCTATCTCCTAATATACGTATCAGAGGGCCCGTGATTTGAATAACAGATGCCTTCAATCCATCGGGGCTAGTCAATTTAATGACCTCACCAAGACCTTGGGCAGCTTGTTCCTTCATTTCTGGCTGACCATTCAGAATGGCTTCTCGGAAGATTGGAAGAATTGGAGAGATGCCCTGAGAAAATACATCACAAACAAAGTTCAAGTTCGAAGTCATGTTTTCACCGTAAAACAAATTCACAATATTAACATTTACTGAACATAAATCAATAGGTAGGTGGCACTGTTTTGTGTTGAATACCAATAAAGTTGTGTGTAAAAACCTGCATGTTTATCTACGGTTCAAATACTAATGTGAAAAATAATACTGATTTCTATGAGATTCTAACAAGAAGGAACAAAGTGACACTGGTATAAATATATATTAACTTTTAAAAACACTTACCTTAGGCAAACAAAATCCAGGAAGAAGATCTTGACCTTTTAGGTCACTCGCAGCAAACCTCACAGCTTGTCGAACATCAGCAACATGTTGCAGTTGACCTGCAGTGTCCAGTGTCTGTAAAAATAAGCCATCATTCTTATAAGATGCAGTGTATAGTGTCTGCAACAATAAATCATTCTTATAAGATGCAGTGTCCAGTGTCTGCAACAATAAATCATTCTTATAAGATGCAGTGTATAGTGTCTGCAACAATAAATCATTCTTATAAGATGCAGTGTCCAGTGTCTGCAACAATAAATCATTCTTATAAGATGCAGTGTTTAGTGTCTGCAACAATAAATCATTCTTATAAGATGCAGTGTCTAGTGTCTACAACAATAAATCATTCTTATAAGATACAGTGTCTAGTGTCTGCAACAATAAATCATTCTTATAAGATGCAGTGTCTAGTGTCTGCAACAATAAATCATTCTTATAAGATACAGTGTCTAGCGTCCGCAACAATAAATCATTCTTATAAGATGCAGTGTATAGTGTCTACAACAATAAATCATTCTTATAAGATGCAGTGTATAGTGTCTACAACAATAAATCATTCTTATAAGATGCAGTGTATAGTGTCTACAACAATAAATCATTCTTATAAGATGCAGTGTCCAGTGCAGTGGTCGGCAATCTTTTTTGATCGCGAGTCAATTATTTTTGTTGTTGAAAAATTTAGCATTGTGTTGGGTCAGTGATAATCATATAATTATTAATATCGGTACATGTATTTTAAATGTGTATGTATATGGGGTACAATATCAATACCAACGTGTGCTAACACTACTGCTTGTGTTTCTGAAGTTCTACGTTGGTATTGATATTGTACCCCGTATAGCAGCTTGTTCTCGACTTAGATTGTAGCTTGTTATTAATCTTATCTGTTGACCACTGTTGTTTCTGTATCATGTGCTAACACTACTGCTTGTGTTTCTGAAGTTCTAGGTTGGTATTGATATTGTACCCCGTATAGCAGCTTGTTATTAATCTTATTTGTTGACCACTGTTGTTTCTGTATCATGTGCTAACACTACTGCTTGTGTTTCTGAAGTTCCATGATACAGAAACAACAGTGGTCAACAGATAAGATTAATAACAAGCTGCTATACGGGGTACAATATCAATACCAACCTAGAACTTCAGAAACACAAGCAGTAGTGTTAGCTACAGAAACAACAGTGGTCAACAGATAAGATTAATAACAAGCTACAAACTGAGTCGAGAACAAGCTGCTATACGGGGTACAATATCAATACCAACGTAGAACTTCAGAAACACAAGCAGTAGTGTTAGCACATGATACAGAAACAACAGTGGTCAACAGATAAGATTAATAACAAGCTACAAACTAAGTCGAGAACAAGGTGCTATACGGTGTACAATATCAATACCAACCTAGAACTTCAGAAACACAAGCAGTAGCGTTGTTTTAATATGAAGATTCTACATCGACTTAACCTGATATAATTACTGTCTTGCTGGCTGTTTGTTGTATTTCTATATCCTGTCTTTTATCTAATATCTATAAGCATTTTTGAAGAATATTATCACAAGCAAAGAGTAGTAATGCATTAGGAATTTGTTAATTTTCTTAGTTTCAGGATAGAATTTTTGCTAAAAATAAAAATCAAGCTGAAAACTTCATTCAACACAATCATTACACATTGATGTTTTAGGTTTTTATTTTGAAACTACTGTAGCTTCAATGACAGAATTACAAAAGACAAAAAATACCTACTTTAGTGACAGAGTTTAATGCTTCACAGCTGAGATTCAGTACGTGAGGATTGTTGTCTGTAAAGAGGTGTATTAAACCACGCAGCAGTTGACTGACATGGGTGGAATAGTTAGCTTTAGAGTTGGAACAGAATATGGAAAGAAGAGCCACCGCTGCTCGGCGGTGGGACGTAGATCCATTTCTAGCTGCCTCTAAAAGGTAGTCAATGATAGTTCGAACTCCAAGATCATCTTGGACCGAAAGGACTACAGCTTGGCAATACTCCAGTTCCTGTATCAAAATATTTAATGTAGCATATAGCACACGGATTAAATCAAATAACATAAATCTTAGCACGAACGGAATTATCACTTTTATACAAAGTTTACTGTTCTATTCTTACTATACACTTAGCTACACTACAATAACAAAAACTGTTCTTGGTAATGCTTACCTGCTGTTCTTCAGGAGTGTCCAGAGCATCACTCAGTGCTGAAAGTAAAGCAGGTAAAACTTTATTCAGGTGTTTTGTTAAAGCTTCTCCTGCTACAGCTGAGAGGAAAGATAAAGCTTTAGTGTTGATTGGTGGAACAGTCAGCTGAAAAAATACAGACAAAAATTACTAAAACTGTTCTTATAATATAAATATATATAATATAAATTGATACAGTATAAACAAGTAGGTTCAACTGTTATTGATGTATAAATTGATACAGTATAAACAAGTAGGTTCAACTGTTATTGATGTATAAATTGATAC